ATACTTTTAAACTGCACTTTACAAGAGCACCAGGAACGTTGAAGAATCATCAAGCTGTCTCATTAACGAAAGGCAGGCAGCGAAAGACAACAAAAAAAAGTCTAACCTCAGCAGAACCGCAGACAGACAAAACGCGAGCGAAGGAGCAGCAGTAACGGGGATTTCAGAACCAGAGGCAGTGCTGCGGGACAAGCATTTTAGGCCATTTTGGAGGACAGAGAGATGAAACGCGATGATTTCCAGGGGAGGCAAGTTTCCCATGTCCGGAGATAACCAGCACAGATCAAACCCCGGCTGCCGTAATAACACCACACTTAAAATCGGATGGCTCCGGCTCCTCGCGCAGCCCTTGGGCCTCGGAGAGAGAGGGAGAGGCAAGGAGAAAACCAAAGTACGTTCACAGCAGAAAGCCTGCTCCACACACTTGGATCGGATACGGAATAGGTGCGTATTCCGCACCCCATTCCGCAGGGACAAGGAAAGATTCGGCAGGACGACAAGCAGGGCTGCGCCTCGCTGAGCTAACCGGCTCTCGCTGGCTCAAATGGCAGACCACCGGAAAGAGAAGCCAGAGCGGAGATCTACCAGAACGGCGACAGTATTTACTCTTCAGAAAGCTCCAGAGACAGCGTCCGGGGAGCAGGCCTCGCCGCTAGACACGAGCACGCAGCTCACAGGAGAGCGCACACACAAACCCAAAGCAGCCATGCCCGCTGAAAATGCACTGCAAGGACTCAGTATCTAAGAAAAAGCAGCCGCAGCTTTGGTTAGGGTCCGATCGGCATTGAAAAATTCTTTTTCTGCACCTTTTTCCCCAAAGAGCTCATTTTCTGTGATTTCCCAGGCTCCGCGTGCTTGGCTGCGCCTTCTTTACAGCCCCCGCAGCGGGCCGTGTTCGCAGGCAAAACGAGCAGGGCCGTTCCCTGGTAGGCAGCTTTGCGCCGTCGCCGAACCAGACGCCGCTTCAGCGTGCGAGACCTTGACGGCACGTTACTGCGGGCCGATGAGGGAGATCGGCCATTTGACGCACGACCTCCTCGGCCTGGAACTTGCAGCAGCAGCCAGGGATTTACCAGCAGGAGAGTACAAAACAGGCACGCTCACGGGGCAAAGTCCGCTAGTTTTGGTCAAACTCCGCTCGGTGGACTAAAATAACACGTTCCACGGAGAGCACTGGAAGAGCTGAGAATGACCTTTTAAGACACCACCGAACCAGAACTACGTTACCCCAGGCCTAAAGCCTGGATCCACTGAACAGAGACGAACGAGATTTAGAGAACCCACTCGGCAGCAGAGGTTAATCTTCAATTTATTGTGCAACAAGCATAAATAACTTTCTCCCCACGTTCCTCTAAACATGATTACACACGACATCGAACGATGTTTTCATAAACACGACTGTTGTTGTTCCAACCTTGACGTCTCCTGTCCTCCCCAACCAAAGGTTATCGCTTCATGGTTCAACAGAAAAAACAGGCAGGTAAACCAGAAGAGCATCACGCTAAACTCTTTAAGCAGGCACTGCTGCTCAGCCCCCTTTCGTTTGCAGTAGTATCCCTAACCGGACACAGCTTGACTCAGCCTCGGACCCTGCGGCAGCAGTCATCACTGCACGACGACGACAGTCAAGTTTTGAGTTCAACGTACAGCTGCTATTTTGCGTGCAACTAGCGAGGTATCTAATGGTGCGCTATCGTCAGAAGCGAGCCGCTCCTGACGCTCACGTTACCAGGCAGCACCTCACTAGGAGGCTTTTAGGCCGTCATTTTATAGCAAGATCCGTCTGTGGCCACAGAGGAATATCATCTTAAGCCCACCACCCGTTTCCCTACGAAAAGAAAGATTGCATATCCCTTTGTCAGCTTGCCTTTCTCAGGGTATTCTTTAAATCCGTGACGCTGCCGTGTAAAGAGCAGCTAGACGGGGCCTCCTCCCACACACCCGCTCTAAAAGGGAATTTGCCTCATTCAACATACGACACAGAAGCCCATAAAACATTCCCAAACGTGAGCAAAAGCAACCACGTACCTCAGGACGCCTGCCAGGTCCGCGCACCCGCACACCGAGAGAGGAACGAAGCCAGGCCGTTTCCTCTAGCGGGGAGAGAAAAGCAGCGTGTGCTAACACTTGCTAGAGGTAAAACTCAACCTCTTCAACACAGGCCTGCGGTTTTAGTTGCCTAAAGCGCTACAGGATTCCAGGCAGACAGAAAAAGACAGATTCCTACGTGCTTTTAGAAAGTGCCATTTATCTATCGCACGGTCACGTCCTCCCAGATGGTAGTCTTCACCCAGACCGGCTTCTCCAGGCCAGCAACAGCAATATCGCGGCCCAGAGGTCTTCATACTCAAGGTTTGCCAAAAAGCACATCTTCATTTTGGTTTCTACCCGGCTTTTATCCACCAGTCCGTCCATGAGCAAAGCGGCCGCAGACTGGCAGAGAAGCCAGGCGATCATCTGGTCGGGTTTCAGGGTCTTGGACGCTAGAACGCTTTCACCCCAGAGGCTTAGGTGAAGCACGTTAGCAGCAGCTCTAGCAGACAATCTCTGCAAAAGGAAGGAGAAGGAAGATCAGCTGACCCCGCCGCACTCGCTTCGCGTCACTAGCGCGTAGCACCCACACTGCCAAAAGTCCCCCAGGCCTCCTAAGGTGCCCGTGAATTAAAAAGCTCTTTGTGACTAATAATATGAGGCGACTGCACATAACCCCCCCCGACTCAAAGTCCAGTCCCTAACACCAACGTCCACCAAAATCCCTGAAACTATTCAGTGCCACACGCGAGAGGCCCCGTCGTACTTCAGCAAAGACTTTTTGTTTGTCTTTGAGCATTATCCAGGCTGCAGTGATACCCGGATGACAGTCCTGATATCCCATAGCCCTCCAGGGCAAAATGATCTACCAACAACACTCCCCCCAAAGCCGGGTTAGCCGACGTGCCAGCTTCTTCAAGACAACAGTTTCTTACCTTCTTGGGATCCCTCTGAAGCAGCATCTCGATCACTTGCTTCACCTCAAGGGGCACGCGATGGGGCAGGCTTGGCAGCTGGTCTTCACGGTAACTTCGGCTTTCCAGAGTCGAGTCCCCGTGGCCGTAGAAAGGATTGGCCAGGCCAAGGATTTCATAGGCGATCGCTCCCACAGCCCAAGCGTCGGCTTTACTGTAGTCGATCACCGTGCCCGGACCAGGCGACGCCGTGATCACCTGTCACAGAGATGGGGATGTTCACCTGAACAGCTCTAGCGCGGGCTCTGCGCTAAACCTAATTTTCAAGAGTCGAGTCAGCATTTCCGCCGTAACAAACGGAGAGAGACTGAAACCAAAGCTAGGTTTCATCTAAATCTCCCATGTAAATATTCCCTATTGGCACGCTCTCAGCCTTCGGCACCGCTCAGCCCGCCGGAACGCTGGGAGGAGTTTGGCCATTGGGCCTAGGCTTCAGTTGTCACCCCTGACCAGCATTCACAGAGACCCGAGGGCTATTTCACGCTGGGATTTCAGACAGCAGACGCGCGGATGAACAACCAATGCTGCACCGGCACTTAAGCAAAGCAAGGCGAGGTGCTCCGGGTCAAGCAGACGGTTAAGACCGTCTTCGCTTCGATTACAGTTACCATCAGAGAAAAAGGAAAACTGGAAAGGAAAAATGGAAAGGAAAGCTACGGGTTCCATCTTGCACGACCGAGTTGTGTCAATAAGGAAGAACGGGGAGAAAACGATCAATCTGACGGCAGAGGCTTTCAGCACGCATTACTACGAAAGCGCCAGCAAAGACCGCATAAGCAAGTATCGGCGTGTGCACGCGGGGGAAGGCTCAGGGACAAATCGCAGCAAAGTGACGTGCACGCATCCCCTCCGCTGCTTCAAGACCGGATCCCACCCTCTTTCGAGTTCCCATCACAGCCGGCACCACAGCTGGGGCTGAAACTTTTCATCCCGACAGCAGGACAAGCAGGCAACCAGCAACACCAACCGTTACCGCAGGGGGAGTTACCTCGGGGGCCATAAGGCAGCCGTTGCCGCCCCGATCCACGTACGAGCTGGTGAAAGGCAGTCTCAAGCCGACGTTTTCATCTGCCAAACAGCAACCGAAGTCCGTGATCACCAGCCAGGGGCAGCCAGCTGCGAACGACACGGGGCTAGCAGAGTTAGCGTTCCGTTCGGGAGGAGCTGGCTCTGTTAGACACCACATCACAAGAAAACCAGAGACAGCCTTCGGGATCCATCTCAATACCCCCAGCAATCAGCACGACCCCAAGCTGTTCTCCTGCTTCGACGCAGTATTATTAGGTGAAATAGCGGCTTTATTAAAACCAAGCTCGTTCTTCCATTGCCTCTTGAGAGAACACTACTTCTCCCCGTGGAACGTGTCCTGACAAAATGTCACGGACAGCATAAAAATGAAGACACATAAGGTCAGAGACTCATCCAGGATGGAGGAATATATTCTTGTTTCTTTCCCCTTTGTTTTTTATCTATAGCAAAAGCTACCACTGTATAAATATATACTTAGCTATAGCAAAAGGCTGGAGAAACTTTGCACTAGTTAACAGTCCTGGTCCCGATGACAAGCCAAACATTGCAAAGCAGAACCATGACTTCTCCAGACTCTGACACGGAAAAATCAATGCTTCAGATCATTCCTAACTGCGTCCAGGATAGCTCCAGAGTAGCTTTTCCTTCTAGAAAAGAAGGATGGCACTAGTATCGCTGAAAACCTTCCACGGCTGCTGTACCAAGGCCTTTAAATACACCCATCTGGCCGACTGCTATTGTTTCCTGCCCATTTAGTTCTCAATCACACTGAAGAAGAGCTCAGCTACTTAAAATCTCCGTTAGAGAGGCTGACAGGAGAACAAGCCGATGAAAACGCTCCTTTTGGCTTTAACACGGTCGGTTCCCTTGCCTTCCAAAACCCGAGGCACAGACAGGACAAATGACTTCCCCGGTGCTGCAGCAACAGCGAGCGGTAGGCTAAAAACTAAACCTGAGATTGTTCAAAGGGTTCGATGCTCACTTTTCCCCCACGCACCTGGGTAGAACTTCCCGGCACACCTATGCGACCGCATCACTTCTGTGCGTGACTTAATTGGCACTTATACGCGTCAATCCACATACCAGCATCAAATTCAACGAGGACGTTGTCAGACTTCAGGTCTCTGTGGGCTATTCCGTGTCGAACAAGATGGTCCACGCCTTCCAAGAGCTGTAGAATCATCATCGTGGAGAGACGAACATCTGGACTGCTCTCCCTCAGATACTGACGCAGCGTGCACGGGTAACTAGTCAGAACAAGGAAAACCTCTGAATTAGCATCCCGGAGGCTTATCGCTGGCGGTTCATCCGCAGCGCCGTCCGGCTTGTACGCACCAAATTCTTCCTGACCTCCGCGGTGCCTTCCCACCTCCCAGCCTCAACCTCACACCGGTCCCCCGTCTGCTGTTCTCAAATCCTCTGTTTTGCAACAACACCCACCACAGAATTTTCGGCACTCTCGCCAGAGTTCAACCATTGCGAATAAAAGAAGCCTCTCAAGCAGCATGGCGAGGGCTCCGGGTATACAGCGGTCACTCTTACCGGTTTTTATGTACCCGTGTTATATTTTGTACGAGAGCGTAGGCAGAGTACTAATGCAGATCGTACGAGCAAAATGAGGAGAAGCGCTCATCAGGAGAAAGAACGCATTCTTGACATACGGAGAGGACAGAGCACTTCTCCAGACGCAGGCAGAACAAAAGAGTGGGAAACGGGAAGTGCTTTTATCTCAACGCCACTGCAATACCCATTCAAAACCCGAAACCCAGTTGAGAAAGCCAGACACGCCGAGCACTACTAAATCTCATTACCGATTCTACTCCATCTCTACCGGCGTGTTCAGACTAGGGGTGAAGTTCAGACTTACAAGGGCAGGCAAATGGGGACAAGCTCCACATTTCTTACTTTCATTTGGGGTAATTATTGAAAAGAACGGCTTGTCTTCATTGTCAAACAAGACTTTAAATCTCCAGGACTTGGCACAGGTCTGAGGAGGCGTTTCCAAGAGCATACTCTGCTTTTTGGCAGCAGCCCAGGCCAAATCTTTGCAAGGGCCCGTGTAGCAGCCGAATACACAGCCCCGCCGGGCAGTCTCATGAAAAGCCCAAGTCACATTCACAAGCTTCCCTCTACCTACTTCTTCATCACCAAGAAGAGCGTGCGGCTGTGACCGATCCCTCTGGGATTCAGGCTTAACGGAAGAACATCGGGATAGTCTGCGAAGGCTCCGGGCAGCAAAGGGACAGAGGATGTGAACGCTCGGATCACCTGGATTATATTCGGATGAGGTTGCAACTTCTTCCTCCCAAGGACAGGCTTTCTGTGCAAAAGTACAGATACCACCCATTACATCGCTTTCCTGGTCAGTTCTGATTTATCACAGACCCATCTCTGTTATTTCTGGAATTACTTTTCATTATGATGGCCCGCCCTCCCCACCAAAGGGTTCCAAAGCAGCGTGCAACCACGTTTGTTCTGCAGTCAAAACCTGATGAGAGAGAGCACGAAGGCCGCCCGGTACAGATTACAGGACTGCACGTTAAGCAAATACTCAAACGTTCACACCCTGGAAACCATTCAGTGAGAAAGAACACGGACAGCAACTTCCCTGCCCTCACAGCCAACGTCCTAACCGGCGCCTCAGCCCAGCGTTTCCCACATCGATGCGAAGCACCCACAGCCTGAGCAGATTCACCGCAGCAGTGAGCAGGTCCCTGCACTTTCTCTGGCGTTCAAAATCCACCCCGGCGCTTCCCACAGCAAACCGAACCGTCATCATCGGGGCAGCACCGTCTGCTGACACGCCAGCGGAGGGTACGCAGACCGAGACTTCACCGGTGGCTGTTGGAAGGGCTCTGTTGTAACTGGATTCCCCTATATACGACGGCCGAACAGGAAATACTGGTGCTTGACCTGCGCTGCAAACGAAGCTGGGCTGGAAACCCTTACGCGTAACCTGCAGCTTCTCCTGGCATTCAAACCCTGCTAGCCCTTCCCTGCTGCTAACAAAGGCAGAGCCACTCACAGGCTCAAAAAGAACGAGAAGAGCAGCTTTAGAGAGAAAAAAACTCAAACACAATTACTTTGTTAGACTTAAAATAAAGGTCAACTTCACATTAGGCGTGTCAATTTACACCCTCTGCTTTACGGCGCAGGCAGGAAGCGCTCACTGCAACGAAAGGCAGGTCACCTACCGGCAACTGCAAACCAGATCTCTCTCCTCCCTCGTCCCCTGAATGTCAAACATCCCTTTGGCTGCTCCGCTGCGTTCCCAGCTAGCGACGTACCACGCAGCATTCATTATTCATTTGTATTGGCAGCCCAAAGGTATTTGAAATTTAAATCGGACAATCTGGACTGCGGACTCCATTGTTTCCAATCGAACACAAGACGCAGTTTTGAACAAAAAGATAGCTACCTCAAGTTAATGTAAAAGTTTCTGTGCGATTTTCCACCTTTGTGCTGTTTGCTCGCTTCTCACTGGGGGGAAAGAGCAGGAACCGAGACATTTTCCATTTTCTTTCTCGCCAGCTTCCCTGCACTAGAACGGTTTCAACCTCCCGGCCCCGCACCTATTTCACAACTAAACCAGTTCTAAAATAGTACAGTCAAATTGTACTACAGTGCAACTGTTTGATGTTTAATACAGTCAAACTGTTACCAACTGTAGGTATCTATTTCTGTAATTAAAAAGCACCACGATGCACATTTAAATGACGTTTAATCAGAAGCAGCTCCTCCCAGCCTTTATCTCTGCCGACATCAACGCCTTTGACACATGGGGAAACGAAGGCACGGGGCGCAGACCCGGCCACGGTCACTCATCAGACCGTGGGCAGGACCCCAACTGCTCCCCGATTATTGGCATACCCTTCCGACGCCCGTCTGGACTACGCCATCCAAGCCGGTACAGTTTAGCCGTAGGTATTCCCCGCACGCCAACGAGCCGTGCCACAATCTGCTCCTCGCAGTAAACAAGACTGCGTTTAATCCCTATTTGAACAGCGATATTGCTACGCGGTTTCCTAACTGTGCGGGAGAAAAGCCCACTGGAGAAAAAGCCCCAGGGCAGCCAGCAGCCCATCCCGGCGTGCTGTTTGAGGTGGGCGGCACTTCCGAAGGCACCGTCGTTTAGACAAAACCACACGCGCACGCCTCCTGAGCCATCAGTAATCCCAAGGCTTTGTTTTTGTCTGCTTTCAGGCGCACTATCATAGAAACCTCTGGCCATCTTCCTAACAGTACAAATACGCTGCAAAATTAATCGATGGATAAAATTTGCACGTCACCGTTTGAGTGCCGCTGCCATTTCCATAGCGACCGTACCTGCGGCCAGACACAGCTCCATATTCTCCGGCTAAGGCAACCCCCGTGGCTGGAACAAGCTCTCGGCCCATAGCGTCGAGGATGGCTTCACTTGACGAACCAGCCTGCAACAGCAATTGCACACCACGTTGGTTGAAGGTTCAAAATCATCCAGGCTCAAAACAGACTGAAAGCAGATAATCCTGACACTGGCACCGCATGTGGAGTTCGATCAACTGAGACTAGATTGAAGGGACTCCCTTCTCTCCTTTGAAAATCAGGGAAGGCAATCTACTTAAAGAATTTACCAAGGGATGTGGCAAGGCCTCTGCTTGCAGAAAGAAATCCGTTTGCCTCTTCGGACGCATCCTCGACCGTTAGCACTCCGAGCTATAGCTTAACACGCACTTTCAACTTCAAAACTGGACTGGAAAAGCCCACAGCTAAATGCTAGGGTATCTCTGGAGGCCAAGGGATTTCAGATGTTGGCATCTGGGAAGACTCCCTTAGGATATCCACTCGTCGCATCAAATGCCACAAAATCTCTTCAATGGGAAAAGCCATGCGGATCTTAAATGTGGAACAGCCACAAGGAGCGGCTGGATCACGAGAGAGTCACTCGGGCTGGGAAACACTAGCGGAGATCTCGCGCGCTCACTTCACGGCAAGGGGACCCAGCACGCAGGTCGCTGTCCCGCCCTCTGTGACCGCCGGCTCGCACCTCGACCACGCTTTGCAGAAGGAGATCTCTCTCCGTCCTGACACCTACAAGGTCGCCGATTCCTAAAGCACTGGCAGCAGTGGCTGTCCCCTTCTTGTTCCTTACCATTACCGCCAGCTTCAGAGAAGCTTTCCTCCCAAAAACATCACCTCCATAACCAACAACTCCACCACCAGCAGCTCGCAAGGCCGATTCCAGAGGAAGGATAAATGCTCATCACCTTGCTCTGGGACTGTTCGCTAACAGTCGACATCGCCAATGTCTCACATCAACAGCTTTGCTTTGACACGCTCATCGTGCGCTACATAATTAGCACTTTCAACACTTAAGCGTGAAAACACTTCACCAGACTTTCCCCGTGGCAGACAAGGAGGTGAAGAACCGACTCCTTACCGAAATGTTCCACATCATTTTGATAGCTAAGGGAAAAGCCTCTCTCGGCTGGTGTTGCTCTACGGGCTCCTCTTCGGCCCTCTGCGAAGCCGAGCCACGATCCCGCTGCACGGCTGGCCCCTGCCCTGTCAAATGGCTGCTCTCCGCACGCCCCTGACGATCGCAACAGAAAGGAATAGCTGCTTCGTACACGGCGGCGCTGCAGCCCTTCCCGAGGGGTTGGCCAATGAGATATTCTTCCAGCTTGAAGCCCTGCCAGCGGAAGGAGCTCAGGGGATCTTTCTGTGGCTTGCTCTTTCCCACAAACACCGTCTGAAAGGAGTAAGAAAAGACAACGATAAAAAACCCGCCCAGTTATTCAAGACTTCCCAACGAAAGCAAACTCCCTCACTGTTTAAGCGGTACCACGTGTCCCGTTGGGTCGGTCCAACCCGAAAGCCACAACCAGGCTCTAACCATTAGGCTCAAATCACTGTAACCGTAGGGAAAATAATTTGCAGACCATGTATTTTTGTCTGAAACAAATTACCCCTAGAACAGCCTTTACCAAAGATGCCCTTTCCGAGGGTGCTGTAGATGCACGGGCAGAAAAGGAATGGTGAGGGGGGAGTCATTTGCTAATCTAGAATATAAATATATTTTGTAAAGACAAGTCCAACTAAATACTTCTAAAAAGAGATGCACTATTACGCCTTTCTCCCCCTCCATAAAAAAATCAGGCCAAGAGCGTTTAGAAGAAAATCCAATTCAGAGCAACAAGAGATGGAAACGCAGCGCCCCGAGCTTCGGTGGCAGCCGAGCACGAGGGTCGGTTACTTCGAGGAAGAGCAAATCAGTGACGGAGAAAGCTGGGGGAGGAAATCGAGAGACGTGAGAAAATAAAGCACAGGAGGGCCGTTCTGGAGTTTAACCACAGCGTTCACGATCCTACAGGTCTGGTGGTGCCACAGCTGTCACCTGGACCAACACAAACCAGCGTGCTTCTCGTAAGCTGCAACCCCACATGCTGGCGCCCAGCCTAGGGATGTGCCCCGGAGCAAAGGGACACAGATTCAGGGACAGCAGAAGGGGGAAGACAGCAAATTTAACTACCCAGTGAGGGGCATCCTGACAAACTTCAGGGAAAGGCAGAACCTCCGCGGGAATGTGTTTGTCTGCCGGTTAGCGGGGCAGGTGACAGCTGGTTCTGTACACCAAAGGCCTATTTTTACCCATGAAATACGTTCAGTCCCCGGTGCCCTGCCAGCATGGCCTAGCCCAGCCTCGCTGGGCCCCCGGCTGTCTCAGGGAGAGGGGACAGACCCGGGGGCTCGACGCAGCCTCCTGGGACACGAGACCCCCATCACCAGGGCCCTGAACCCTTCCCTTTAGGGGGGACCAGCAGTGAGGACCCTCCCGGTACCGGCTTTAGGGTGGTGAGGGGCTTCTGACTGAGAGGCTTCCCAGTACCCTATTTTGGAGGAGGAAGAGGTGTCTGTGGGGCCACCCACAGCAGCGCCCACTTCGGGGATGTGCCCGAGGGCGGCTCATAGCAGTACCCCCACCTTCC